ATTTGTCATTCCTGGCATAGTAGATCAGATGATTGTCTAATTCAAAATGGCCAATGCCAGGCCATTTCAGCTTAATAATGCCTAGGATATTGATCTTTATGTGTTCCATTTCATTTTTGACAACTTCCAGTTTTTCTATTAACATGCTCCGTACATTGCACATTTCAATTATTACTAGATATTTGCAACTGTTTCTTCCCCTTTTGAGAGATCCATATTTGTGTCCCTTTCAAAGAAAGTGATCCAATTGAGGTGGAAATTATCAAACAATATCATTAATATCACATGTAAGTAAAATTTTGCTGAAGATGATTTTAAAATGGTTGTAGTAGTATATTGACAGGGAACTTCCAGAAATCTGTGCTGGATTCAGAAGAGGATGCTGATGTCATATGGATCATATGGATCTGGACTGAAAGCAAAGACTATAAGAAAGATGTCTGCCTGTGTTTTATTGACTATACAAAGGCATTTGACTGTGTGGATCATGACAAATTATGAATAACATTGTGAAGAATGGGAATTCCAGAACACTTAATTGTACTCATGAGGAACCTGTGCATAGTTCAAGAGGCTATTGTTCAAACAGAAAAAGGGGAGACTGGATGGCTTAAAATCAAGAACGGTGTGTGTCAGAGTTGTATCCTTTCACCATACTTATTCCATCTGTATGTTGAGCAAATTATCTGAGAACCTTGACTATATGAAGAACATGACATGCAGATTGGAGGAAGACTCATTAACAACCCGTGATATGCAGATGACACAACTTTGCTTGCAGAAAATGAAGATAACTTGAAGCACTTAGTGATGAAGATAAAAAGCTACAGTCTTCACTTTGTATTACACCTTAACACAACACACACATCCTCAGGACTGGACCAATAAGCAATATCACAACAAACGGAGAAAAGATTTCATTTTACTTGGATCCACATTCAACACCCAAAGAAGCATCAGCCAAGAAATTAAACAACATATCACCTTGGGCAAATGTGCTGCAGAAGACCTCTTTACAGTGTTAAGAAGCAAAGATGTGTTTTTGAAGACTAATGTGTGTCTAACCCAAGCCATGGTATTTTCAGTTGCCTCACATGCATGTGAAACCTGGACAATGAATAAGGAAGACTGAAGAAGAATTTATGGCTTTGAAATGTTGTGTTGATAAAGAATACTGAAAATACCATGGACTGCCAGAAGAAGGAACAAATTTGTCCTGGAAAAAGTGCATCCAGAATGCTCCTTGGAAGCGAGAATGGCCAGACTTCATCTTACCTCCTTTGGTCATGTTGTCAGAAGGGATCATTTCCTGAAGAAGGATATCATGGTTGGTAAAGTGGAAGATGAGCCAAAGAGGGGAAGTCTCTCAATGAGATGGATTGACACAGTGGCTGCAATGATGGGCTCAAGCATAGCAAGAATTGAGAGGATGATACCGGACCAGGCAGTGTTTCATTTTGTTGTACACAGGGTTGCTATGAGTTGGAGTTGACTTAACAGCACCTAACAACAATGACTTGATAGGGGAATGATAAGTTTCTAGAAGAGCATGATAGATTGGAAATATTACTATCATTACTGATAATTTGATACTAGCTTTTAATTTTCCAGGGTGTTAC